TATATATATATATATATATATATATATATATATATATATATATGGCCGAAAGACATTTAATAAATTTGAAGCAATTTGCAATTAAAAGTAGAGATTATGAATGACATTAATCTTCAACATTGTAAAATGATTCATACATTTTTTTTTTCAATAAATCGGCATATTTATGTTTTATTATATATATATATATATATATATATTAATTCTCTAAAATTAAAATAAAATATCATCCTTCAATTAAATAAGTGACACCTATTTTTTACAATGGGTTTTCTCAAGTGAGACGTCGCGTCATTAGTCCCACATTGATTTGACGCAATATCATGCCTTTCTTCTTAGTTCTTTCCGTGCAATGCTAGAGCGTCTCTTCGGAGACATCCGATAAAATTGGAACGATACAGAGAAGATTAGCATGGCCCCTGCGCAAGGATGACACGCATAAATCGAGAAATGGTCCAAAATTTTTTGCCGATCTCAGATTCAAACCCTAGATCTTAATCAGAGTTCTTCGGCCAGGTTTTTCTCGATTTTGCAAGTCTAGGAGTGTTTGTTTTGTGGGGTTTTTGTTCTTTTTGGATTCTACTAATTCATGATACCTCACTTTGCCTCTCACGGAAACCCTAGTTCAATCTGAGTATCTTCCTTAGCTTTTCCTTGATTTGGCAATGGAACCACTCTAATTCATATTCAAGTTTTGGTTTATAGGATTTTACATGTTTTTTTTTCTTAATTTTGGCGTGAATGCATATTTACAGAACTGCGTAGCCAAATTAGTTTTTCTTTTCCTGGTTTTTCCTCTTCAAGCTTTCTGTTCTATACGAATTTAATCTCTATGTAGTCAAAAAAGCAGCTCAGCTTAAATTTTTTGGTGCGTTAGCTTTTATTTTTTATACTTCTCTTATTTTACACAGTTAGTTGCTAAATTTGCAATTTGGTGAACTTTTGATCTTATGAAAAGACCTGAAACAGTAATCCATTTGAAGTTTTGATTTATAGCATTTTTTTTTCAGTTTTCTTTTTAGTTTGTGTTCTTATTTTCTAGTAACAGTAGCTACTTTGGTTTGTTATGATATCAGTCATCACTTGATACCACTTGGCTATTTTAATTTTAGCGATTTGAGGACAGATTTTTGACACACAGAAGAAAAAAAGCTATTTTCCTTAGGCTGTTTTCTTTCTTCTTCCTAGCCCCCTGTTGTGTGCTCTTATAAAGAAACAGGAAGGAGAAGAAGAATGCTGATCAGATAAGTGGAAAAATGATATTTCATTCATAACTAAATGTTCCTGTTACAAGCTTTATTTATAAGTCTGTATAACAGCATACTTGTAATATTACAGAAGGAAAGAATATCATTATACAACCATTGATTGGTTAATATAAAAGCAACATATTGAACTAAACCTAAATATCTGAATGCGGGAGAGGCGGAGCGAGGGCATGGACACGAGCCAGAGAAGAAGCAGAGGAGAAGGTCATTCATGATAGGAGCAATCTCTGTATCATTGGAGCAGATAAGTTCCTTCCAATATCCCCTGTCAAGCTAAGCATATGATGAGATGATGGTTAGCTTGTTGGTAAGCTCACGATGTCTGGTATATGTCTGCGGGTTGATCCTGGGACATAATATGCTGGAGGAGAATGTGTTTATGCTTGATATGATCTAGTATGAAGTGATAATCCACTTTGATGTGCTTAGTTCGAGCATGAAATACTGGATTATGTGCAAGAGCGTAGCTGAAGTGCTTTCACTGTATAATTTGACGGGATGAGAAGAATACCCTGTAAGTTTTTCAAGTAGACGTCGTAGCCATAAGATTTTTGTAGTAGTTGTTGTATGGGCTCTGTACCCGGCCTTTGTGGAGGATCGAGCAACGGTGTTCTGCTTCTTAGAAGACCAAGAGATTAGATTAAATCCTAGATAAATGCAATAACCTGTTGTTGATTTTCTGTCGTTGATGTCGTTGGCCCAATCAGCATCAGTGTATGCATGTAAATACAGTGGTCCGGGAATGAAGGGTAACCCATAGTTTAATGTTTATTTGAGGTAGCGAAGAAGCCTTTGGAACAAATTGTAGTGGCGTGTGTTCGGTTTGTGCATGTGTTGACTTAATGAGTTTACAGTAAACATGATGTCTGGTCTTTTCATAGTGAGGTATTGTAATATACCAATTAATTGTCTGTAATATTGAGGATTGTTAATGGGTGATATGTTGGTGATATTTTTCAAAGGTTCAAGAGGTGAAGGGGTTAATACAGGTTTTGTTTGCATTAATCCAGCTTTCTTTAAGAGATCACTTAAATATTTTGTTTGATGGACAAAATATCCTTTTATAGTTTTGTTTATTTGTAATCTTAGAAAATGATATAATTAAATTTATTTATTTATTTATTTATTTCGGTTGATGAATTTCATGTGATTAGCTTATCATAAACATAAATAAGAAGGCAAATTCTGATTTTATGTATTATGCGCAATTTAATGTTTTATGAAATCTTTAAGCTAATATAAATTTTTTAAGTGGAGAAATGTGACAAGTTTTTGACTTTAAGAAGTAGATAGTGAAGCTCAAAACCATTAAAGACTATCCAGATATAGTAATCCTCATATAAAAAAAAAAAAGAAAAAAAAACAAAGAAGAAAAGAAAAGAAAAAGAAAAGAAAAGATGTGGGGAGAAGCTTGAGGGGATGCCTTTATTATGGTGGTAAATAATAAAGAATGATCTGAGTTGCTTAATTTAAAGTTTTGTTCGTATAAGAAATTACAGAATGTGGAATACCACTGTCGTGGTTGTTTTTTTAATCCATAAATTGCTTTATTTATCTTACATATGTAATGAGGATTGTGTGTATCGTGAAAACCTGATGGTTGTGACATATATCTAGTGTCGTCTAATTTTTCATGAAGAAAAGCATTAGATACATCCAATTGTGTAATATCCAGTTTTCAGTAGTTGCTAAAGTAATAAGCATGTGTATAGTAGGAAGGGTTTATGAGAGGATATAACCCATTATGTGTTGGCCCACTGAGAAGTCGTTGTTTGCGACAACTATTAGGAGTAAAAGTAATAGAGCATTTGTTATCACGAACTAGTTTAGAAATAGAGATTAGTTTGCGAGTAATATGAGGCACTCAGAATAGAGGATAGAAGGAACTTACGATCGGGCGTAGCGAGGATGCCATTTTTGTCCATGACCTACTATTACCTGTTCAATACCATTGTAAGGTTGTGGTTGCTGGATATTGTCCAAGTGTGGGGTGATGTGAGATGTAGCTCCAGTATCAAGAAGCCAGGCTTGATTCTTATGGTTGGTGGTGGTGTGAAATATAAGGATTAATAAAACTAGTGAACAATTAAAAAATATTTCTTAAGAACCTTAAGCAAGACAGGCATAGAGTGCATATTTTAATTCAGGAGTAATATTTAAAAAGTATGTTTAATGGGTAACTTTAAATTCTAATTCCTATTAACTGTACCATAAAAGGCCAATTTGAATTTACATATACAGCACATTTACATATTTTGGGCACATTTACATATATAGCCACAATTATTATGTATTTACATAACTAGCACCTAAACTCCTTAATATTTACATGCTCATCACTCCAGATTTAAACATCACATCAAAACATCATAATTATTTTATCTTAATAAACGTAAATATGAAAGTTTGGTTAGATATAACAAATTTATTATAAACGTAAAAATGAAAAGAATTTGGATTGTTGGAAGTATTTAAAGTGTAAAACAAAATAAAATTAGGGATTATTAGTTGTTTAAGGTAATTTAAAACAAAAATTGGATTCCGACCTGCCGGATTCGAACCAGCGACCTAAGGATTAATCTGCAGCACTACAGTCCTCCGCTCTACCAACTGAGCTAAGGTCGGCTACGTTTGCTTTAAGATTTTATAAAATACTTAATATATAAAGCTGATTCTATCCAATTGATAAAAAATAATTAACTTAAGATTATGCCAAGGTAAAAATTATGATACCATGTTTTTTAATTTCATCCCAAACTCATTAAACTATACTTTTTTTACTCTTTTGTGTGCCATGTAAGTCTCATTTACTACATAATATTTTGACCTAAAACTTTTATATATATATATATATATATATATATATATATATATATATTACTGGAATATTCACGACAATAAAGTGACAATAAAGTGATAATTTATAGTCTTAGGACTGCAAGAATATCTCACACACATATAGATAGAATGAAATTCAAGGGAGGAAACTCTTGAATCTTAATCAAAGGACGGTGGTCCATTCTTCACCTGTATTAGAGAAGATTTGATTACAAGATGATGTTTAAATTATAGCTACTTTGAAGTAATATATATATGGTAGCGAAG